AAAAAATGTAAAACAAAAAGGAGATTAAATTCTAAATCAGAGAAAAAGGAAATGAGTTGTTGAAAATCTTTAGAAAAATAAGTTGGGCTTTTGATTCCCCCCTTCCAACAACACATAAGTGGATGAATTTTTTTCTTATCAAAACGCTCGACAACTATTTTTCAGTTAACTGGCTTAGTGATTAACCTTTAATCCCTTAAAAGTTATTTAATCCAAAATCAACCACAAGCATATCCCTATGCATATGGTGCTTGGATTCTTGAAGAACAGAGCCTTAGTTACATGGTGGATTCACTCATGTCTGAGTTGAATCCCTTGAATGATCCCTTATTCAAGCCCATGTGTTCAAACCAAGGTCAAAAATGAGTTATTTCCCAACAATTCATTTCTATGGAAGCTTTTACACTCGGTCGTTATGCAGAAATTCTTCAACAAAAAAATACAAATTTAAACAACTGAATTAGTATTAACAGTGCGGGTAAAAAGAAAACATCCACAAAGTGTTGAAGGTTGGGTATCACCTAGACCCAACCTCTACTATTTAGCTCATATCCATAAGGATTGAGCTCAAATACAGAAATGAAATGAAAATACAAAGAAAATAAAATGCAGAAAGCTTAAACTACAGCACGAGTACTATTCACAGAAATAGCGTCGACACTGTACTCACATTTTCCAATGCAAACAAAATAATATCTATTACAGTACCAGAAACGCAAAATAAAAATTAAAAAAATGGAGAAGAGTGATTACATAAGAAGGTCCTATCAAATAAACTATTCCTTCTCTTTTATATCTCTTTTCCTTTGCATGCATGGGCTTTGGGCCTCTTCACCAACAGCATCTACACACGCTCCTTCCGCACGAACCACACAAGCATCCCTTGCACGTTCTTTTCTTGCTCCATGCTCATACCAAGCACTCCACAAAAATCCCACTACCAATTGTAACAAACTCCAGGTCATTATTCGGTTAGGGTCAGTGTTTGCTCTTTTTCTTTTTAAGAGACTATGGTTAGGATCAAACTTATGAGTGAATGGTTAATTGAATCACTAGAAGGATGGGTTTTGAGGTTGGATGGCTCACAAAAAATCAAGATGGAAGGTTGATTTGAATGGCATTGTGGTTGGATTGAGATGGGTGGTTCGAACGGTGAGGGGGTTAGGGTTCGATGGCTTAGGAGTGTTTTTCCCAAATGTGTCTTACGCTTACGCTATTTTTCTCTTTCTGTTGCTCACTTGGGCTTTTCTGAGTTAACTACAAGCCCATTTGCTTTATTTTTTCTTCTGCTCTGGTAGACCATTTCTTTCGCTTGACTTTGTTGGCCTGAAATATCAAAGCATAGCCCGTTAACTTTTTACTCAACATAATTTCAACTCAATATAATTAGGGTCAGTATTATACAAAAGGTATTCATTTTTTATTTTTTTAACATTTTCATATCAAAAACCATATGTTTTAAGTCACATTTCATGGACTTATCAAGTGGTCACAACTCCTTTGGTCTCTGGAGAAGTTCAGACCTATTATTTAGTCACATTGGAAGGGATAAGTGTTGGAAATAAGTTTGTGCCTTTTCATTCTTCACAACAGATTTCCAAGGGGAATACATTGATTGATTCAGGTACACCAGCAACATATATGTTGGAAATCGACCACACACAAATCGAAAACGAAAAAGAAAAGAGAGAGAGAATAGACACAATAATTTACCCTGGTTCACCCAATTTAGGCTACGTCCAGCTTGTCTGTACTATATTCACATCACCGCCACTCGTTACAAGTCACTCGGTTTACAAGAAAAATATAAATAGGATTAGAAAACCCTAACAACAGCTATTCATGGGCCCAAGCCCAAATTGCTAAGAAAATTACAATAAAACAGAGGCCCACAACAGTACCTAACCTCTACGGGCCATCATCACAGCGGGACCCTAGTTGCCTTTCTGCTGACCCCGATAACTAGGGTCATCATCAACATGCGAAGTATGAGCCATACCCAACAATATATACCACAAGAACTGCATGATGGTTTTGTACGGGAATTAAAGGCACAAATTAGCATGACACCCATTGAGGATGACCCAAGCTTGGGCCCACAACTTTGTTATAGAAGTGAGAGTAAATATTATTTTGGTTCCTCAATAAAAAACACGAAATTTATTTTAATCGGAAAAAAAGTCAAATTGTGGTTCTTTTGAAATTTCAGTTCTTTGAAATTATGGCCTCTTTGAAATTGTGGGTCCCTTTGAAATTAAAAAAATACCCATGTTAATCCTTCAAAAAAATTAATACGGATATTTTTTTTGGCTTTAATGTTTCTAAAGTTAACGTAGATAACTTATCTACATTTGCTCCTAAAACGACATCGTTTTGAGTTGAAAAATTAAAAAATTATAATGAAAAAGATTATTATAACCCTGAAATAAATTATAATTATAAAAATACATTGATTTCCGTCTCAAAATAATATCGTTTTGGACTCAACGTAGATAAGTTATCTACATTGACAGTAGAAAAAACAAACCCTTTTTTTTTTAGAGATTGCAATATGTTAAATCTTGAATTGATGCATCAATATTAAACCTTATGTGTACCACAATTTCTTGACATAGATTGAATTTTTGTATAATTTTTGCTTTCATTTTGGGATAAGGCATCGATTGAATATTAGTTCAACAAATGTTTTTATGTGGAAAATCTACCATATGCATTTTAAGTATATGATATAATCAAGTATCGGTTCAATAATTTTGAAGAACCAGAAATAAAAATTCAACACAATGAAGTATAAGATATAAGGGGAAATCACTTCTGGCGTCACTACATAAGTGATTTCCTTATGCCATATATTCATCTTCATTTTTTTATTTTTTTTTAAAAATGGTGGGGCCCACCATGTTTTTGTATCAGCTACAAACTCTCAAATTTTGCAGTTAAAGGAGAGTTGCAAAACCCATGATATAATCAAGTATCGGTTCAATGGGATCGGGTTTCTTCCTCCTTTCAAAATACTAAAATTTTGGGTTTGTCTATTAATATTTTAAATGAGTCACCTTTATTATTTTTGAAGAAATTATTATAATTTGATTTTAGATAAATAATTATCATTTTCAATTTTCAATTTTTTTTTTTCAAAAATCTCACCTAATCATGGTCATACCTAATTGGCACTGTACAGAATGTCATGAAATAATTATCTGAAAAGTTTTAGATTTTAAAAGAAAGAATTTGAATAAATTTATATTCAATATATCCTTCACGAAAAATCAGAAAAAAGGTGTTTATTTCTAGGGAAAATTACACGGAAAAAAAATCAAGCAACAAAAATATTAACAAAAGCTGGGAATATGAAATTTCAGTGAAAAAATGAAGCTTACGATATGGTTTTGGGATTTAGAAATGTAAATGAGTCACAGTGGCAAACTTGGCCTATTATATTTAATAAAATAAAACAGGTTCAAGTCTTAATTTTTTTTTTTTAAATCAGATCAAATGTTTTACCAAATCAGCTTATATTATATTATTTATTTTATTTAATAAATAAAATTGTTATTCAAATAATTTTGAATAATCAAGTTATTTTTTTTAATTCTTGAATGTCTAATAGATTTAAGCAGACAAATATTTTATACAAACCTAATTTATTTTAATCAAATCCAGCATATTTACACTCTAGTTAAAGGGATAATTATCTCTGGTTGCATATGAGAAATAATAATTAAGTCCTTTATTTATTGATACTAATTAAGTCTTTATTTATTGATAATGTAGGACAATTTTTATTTTTGTCGTTGCAGCGTGCAAGTAAGTCCTTTAATAACCTCCAGTTGTATCCGTTTATAATTTAGTGTTACTTTAATAACCTCCAGTTGTATACGTTTATAATTTAGTGTCGGTAACGTTAGCACATAAACGGGAAAATTGTTAATTAAGAATATAAAACGTCAATTTATTCATTTCTTCCATTCCCTTCCTTCCTTAATTATAAAGTATATTGAATTTTATTTTTAAAGTATATTGAATTTTTGCATATGCACTTTCATAAGGTCCACGACGGTTATATTGATAAACTTACAAACTACAATAAGTATGATTAGTCAGACTTTTTTAATCAAGAATATATGATTGGTTTACAAACTACATTAAGTATGATTAGTCAAACTATGATTAGTCAGACTTTTTTAATCAAGAGTATATGATTGGTCAGTACTTCAATCAATGTCAATATAATCTTTCTCAGGTTCACTTTAATCAAGAAGTGTATGACTTCAATCAATGTAAATATAATATAATCTTCCTCAGGTTCAGGTGTGTATGACTGGTCAGACTTTGATTAGTCAGACTTTTTTAATCAAGAATATATGATTGGTTTACAAACTACAAATAAGTATGATTAGTCAGACTATGATTAGTTAGACTTTTTTAATCAAGAGTATATGATTGGTCAGTACTTCAATCAATGTCAATATAATCTTTCTCAGGTTCACTTTAATCAAGAAGTGTATGACTTCAATCAATGTAAATATAATATAATCTTCCTCAGGTTCAGGTGTGTATGACTGGTCAGACTTTAATCAATATCAATACAATCTTCCTCAAGTTCACCACTTTACCTCTTTAAAGGACTTCACATCTATCGATACTAAAATATGGGAAATGTTAATATAATCTTCCTCAACTTCATCACTTTACTTCTTTAAACCACTTCACATCTATGATACTAGAATATGAAGCATAATTAATATAGCTACAACCGCATTATTTTTTTATGCAAGACCCCTGAAATCTAGAAATCACTTAATTTACCTAGGGAGCAAAATTCCTTTCCAATATATGTAATCAAACAATGAAAACCATCTGGAAAAATGTGAAGCATACTTATTTGGTCGACAAATTCATTGCAATCATAATTATTATTGAATAACCACTCTTGAAATAACAAGCAACAACTAGTGAGGTACTAGTTTTCAATTAACTAGAGAGAAAACTCAAAGATATCAATATGGAAAACTCAGAATAGAGGGATTAGCATTAATGCGAGCAGGGTTGTTCTCGGAGACAGCATAAAGCCCAAATCCATTTGGGCCAGGCCCAGTAATTGGTAAAGGAAAACTAGCCTGCTCCATGAACACTCTGTTAGCATGTGTTGTAACAATCTTCTTTAGCTTCTCCATTGAAAACATTAAATGTTGTAACTCATGCTGTCCAAGCTCATCAATGGGAGTTTCCCACCAGAATTGTGTTTGCCTAGCTTTCCGCGCTCGATCTAGCTCTTCTCCAAGCTTTTTCTCAATCTCCATCTGATTAAGAATCTGAGTAAGTTGCATGTTCAGATTAAAAACGTTAGCATTACGACCAACATTAACAAGTTGGTTACTAGTAGTACTAGGGTCTAATGGAGTGTTTCGAGTTAGATAAGAATCAATTAAGGATTCAACTTCTGGGTGGCCAAAAGAGAAGGCCTTATCAGATGGAGAGAAAACAATGATTGCAATTTCCACTCCACAAAGTGTGCAAAGCTCACTAGCCTTTTTGAAAAGTCCTCCACGGCGCTTGGAGAATGTAACTTTTAGATTACTCTTTTTTGATATTTTCTCCATTGGAATCTTTTGGCGACCTAACCTAAACTTTCTCTCAGCCATCATGAAAAGAAGATGCAATAGGAGAAAACTTCTTCGGTTTAGAATTTGGGTTTGTTTGAGTAGAAAAGTGGGGTATATTTATATTGGAATATTTGGTTTATGGTACTTAACAAATTAATAGTCTCATCTAAATGTTTTATTAATTTTTATAACTAGTCCAAGATTAGGAAGTTATGAAATCTTCCATCTTAATGCGTGATTATATCATAACTCATATCTCCTACTTGCCATTATAAGAAGATTTTAACTTCTGTGAAATCAATCTTAATCCAATACATATGTTATATATTTCATTACAACATTTATTTCTTGGTATTACAATTGTACAATTAATTGTATTTAATACTCAAAAAATAATTGGTCTTAAAAGAATTATTTCCACAGCTGAAGGACGTTATATGTGAAAATACCATGTCAGTATATTTGATGCGTCATAGCACAATTAGTTACTTAATGGGGATCCAGTTGTATTCGAGTAAATTTAGTAGTTACAGTCTAATTTTGCTATAAACGTAAAGATGTTTTTTATTCAAATATTAATGTTATTGACAATTATTCTGTGTTTTTCTATAGGAAAACTGGAAATAGGGTGAAATCTATTAGATAATAAAACGGTCATATCATTCAAATTTAATTCAGAATAAATTCATGTATAGGAACATCGTAAATTGGGATTGACAGGAAAAACAAGGACCCATTTTTTAGGTTATATATTATTCTTTTATTTCTTTTGGAGTTTCTTTCATAAAATTTTAATTCAGATATTGGCATTAACCCTTTAATTTTTTTGATGAACTATATTAATTTGGCAGTTTTTTTTTAGATAGCCTTGCCTTTACGAAGTACGTAAAAATAAGAACCTTCTTAAAAAATAATGTTGAAAATATAACGTGTAAGTTATTAATTTTTATTTTATTTTGTTATTTCTTCGGTAGGAATCTCTTAGCACGGTAGTTAAATTGTGTTTTAACCACGTGAAAACTAATGTTAAAAATAGAAAAAAGAATGACAAATACTTATTGTTTTAAAAGCTGCTAAATATATGTTTTATAACTTTACAAAACAGCTCAGGCTAAAAAAAAACCGCATATGACTTATTGCTATAAATTTATGTTTTATAAGTTTACAAAACTGCTCACTCGACTTATTGCTAAATCTATGTTTTATAACGTTATAAAACTGAAAGAAAAAAAAAAACGCATTTGACTTAATTTCTTAATGATGCACTTCATAAGTCCAAGATTTGGAAGTTATAAATATTCCATCTTCATATTGTTTAAAATATAAAACTTCCTATATACATCTTCTTGGTTTTAAAACTGCATAATTAAATTCAATATTAAACAACTATATAACACATTCTTTTACTGGTTATTTGACACATTATAGTTGGGCCGGGGACCCACATCATGGTTGGCTTAAAGTTTAGGAAAACATATAAAAAGGGGCATATAAATATAAAAATAAATTATTATTGTAACCTTACATTTTTTTTTTTGATACGTGTAACCTTACATTTTAATTGCGTAGGTTTTAAGATGGTAAATAGTTCATTAGTGTAAAATATATTTTCCATAGAAAATTACTTGAATAAAACAAAATAGATAAAATATTTTCCATAAAATGATATTTATTTATTTATTAAAAAAAAAAAACTGTGCAGCTTCCTCTATTTTTGTACTAATTGATTTATTGAGGAAACTGGATGCTCCGGGCTCATCATGTCTGATTGTTGTTTTCTCGCAGAACAGATTGCAAAAATGAAGTCAAATTAATTATGCTGAGAAAGGTGGTTATTTTTTTATTTTATTTTTTTAGTAATAGAGAAAGGTGGTAATTAACTACTATTACAGATGCAATTCGCACACTTGCATGCATTCGCACACTTGCATGCATTTCAGCCATGTCAGTAGTTATATCAGTTATTAGTTGTGCAGTTATAACAATATATATAGATGAGTATGCATGAGTAGTTAGTCAGTTTATCAATCGTTTTTCTGTTAGCGCGCTCCTTTTTTCTATTCATGCAGCTTTAATTTCTTTCTTTTGCTGATATAAATCACTTTGTTGTAATGACAAAGGCATGAAGTTTGATCAACAATCTTTCATGAAACATAAGATATGGTAGCAGAGCTGATATTTCGCTTTTCATTTCCCCTATTTTCTTTATTAATTACTTTTCAATAGTTTTCTCCTTCTCTGCAACAATGACGAACCACAGCTATCTCTCGGAGTTTGTCACAAACTATATACATCTAAATAAATGGAAATCCATCCCTAGTACTTGACTACGACTTTGCTTTTCGAGCAATAAATAAAATAAGTCCATCCTTAATTAGTATTAATAATTTATTAATATTATTATTAAAATAAAGTGATATTCATTCATATCGAGCTGCTAAAGATGTTAGAAAATGTGCTAGCATACATAATCATCTCACAACAATCTTTTTTACAGTGTCATGTGAAATGGTGTTTTATTTATACACGTGTGTGTTTGGAAAACAGTACCTTTTCAATACGATGTTTTTTTAAATATTTTTTTTAATTCCCGTTTGTTACGGTTTCCTAAGAATACATTATATATATTTGATTATTATAAAAGAAAGAAAAAATACAATTTGATAAGTAAATTTTATTGTCATAGGTGCATGCACTTTATAATTAACAAACAATAGACCGGAGAACTAAATAAATTAATGGTGAGCAATAAATAAACACAAAGAGACTTGTCTGATTTGCAAGGTAGACCTGAAATTATTACCAACAGTAGGGAATTCCAGAGTACTCAAAAACAAAATTACATGGAAATATATAAAATTACAAATAAAAGGGGCAAAAGCAAGAAAATTCCAAAACATTGAAAAGAAAAATCAGTATATGCAGACCCTAGCTAGAAATGAACATCACAGTTGGTGGTCTCAAAGAGAGTGAGGGTTGTATTAGAATTTATGAAGGGAACCTTGAGGTCACATTTGACCTTTGGCTTCATGGTTCGGGTAATGAAGTCCCCGACCCTGAACCTAATCCTGAAATAGAGCTTCACATAAATGTTATAAATCCCAACACTCTTGTCTTTGTTGAAATCAGAGACCTGATCATTGTCGAGAAGAAGCATTTGCTGGCCTGCGAAAACGGCGCTGATGGTGTCTGTGCTCTTCTTGCACTGACCGAAGGAGTTCATGTCCGTGATGACGTCAGGACTGGCGAACCTTGATCCCTCGTAGAATGCCAATGCCTCCACTTTGTCATAGTATATGCTGAGTTTTTCGTTTGGGTTGCGAACGGTGAAGTTGAGAACCAAGTTGTAGTGTAGGGTGTTGTTGGTGTAGTCGAATTGGGTTAGCTCGGCTTCAGTCACATAGAACTTGAAAGAGTGAGGTTGAACCACGATAAAGAATATGATGATTCCGAGGCCAAAGATAACAACGAGTGCACTGAGAAGCTTTAAGAGAAGGAAATAGTAATAGTGGGATTGATTATAGGTCGACATGGCTGGAATGAAAATGAGGAGATATATTTGATGTGACAAAAAAAGTAATTAAGGTGACAGAGAGATGAAAGAGAAGCTAGTGAATTGTGTGAGAAGGGTGAAGGGAGTGGTGTGTGTTTATATATTGAAAGGAAATGCATTGCATTGAAGATTTTAATTATGGTAACAACGCGATTATGTGTTGGTGTCTGATCTGTTGGATATTTAATATTTAATTCAATTTTCACACGTGAAATGAAACGATCAACAAAAATTGTATTGGCCATTAAATTCTGATGATTCTTATCCAAAACTAGACACTAGACATTGATTGGAAATAAATAAATAAATCTATAATAAAGGAGTTAAATATATTAAGATAGACATTAAAGTTTAGAATCAAGTTAAAATAACAAAAACAATTATTTATCAGTGACAACAGTTAAATAACAAATAATTTAGAGAGGCGTTATACTTATAAAAATTATTATTTTTTATCTTATAACCATTTTGTTATAATTGGATAGAAGAGCTAGCCTTACCATAATGGGATATTTCCAGCTTGAATAAGATTGTCTCCTGTTGAGGATACCTGTAATTTATTTATAAAAAAAATATTAAAATCAAATTAATGTTTTTCACTTATATTATTTTATAATCGTTGATTTTATTTTGATCCAACGATAATAAAAATTATTATTAATTCTCCATAAATTATAATCATCATATTGGCGTTTATAATTTATTGCATCACACTTATTAATTAATTTTAATTAATTATCAATTTTAATAAATTATAATTATTAAATTGACAAAAATCAACTGTTAAGATTTGATTGAAAGAAGTTGTAAATATAATGTTGATCGTTTAAGATATATATATAAATCATATAAATTCATGTTATTTTAGATCTATATTTAACTTAAATTTAGTTGGAGTAAAATTTGCTTTAAAGTTACCAACAAAGCCCGCACAGTTGGTAGATGGTTAGGTCCGTTAAGCATACTAAAAAGTGTTTGATCCTTTACCGTGTGTATGAAAAATACTTTATTGAAAAAGGCAAAACCATTTCTTGAGGAAACTAAAAAAAATGGTTTAAAGTTTTATCTGATATAAAGAAGCATACTGATTTACTTTTTTTTTTTTTTTTTTTATACATGAAGCATACTTATTTACTATGAAATGAATGATTAAGGCTTCTTTAAAAAAAAAAAATTGAATAAAGTTCTAACTTTTTTTTTTGGTAAACAGCTCAAACCTTTTTTTTTTGGTGGATGAAAACAGCTCAAACTTTATCTTTCCCAATACTTACATGCTCAGATCTGTATCTAATTAAGAGATAGACTCGTTTAAAATATTAAAAGAAGTTCCTTTCAAAATAAAAATAAAAATTAAAAGAAGTAATATGAGAAAAAAAAATTAACTACAAGATAGTTTTTTTAAAATATTTTTTTCTGTTTATAGGGCTGAACATTTGTAGATGAATTCAATATTTATTTATTTTATCCTAATAGATTATTTATAACCATTAATTTATTCAGGGAAGATCGTCTCACACAATCTCATTTCACATTAGAGAAATTATTTATTCAGTGTTGAAAGATAATGACGCAACGCATATAAACTCAGTGGATTATGTTAAAACAATGTTATTTTGGCAATTTTATACGTCACACAGATCTTACGTGTCACGTAAATAATAAATTACTTTAAAATATATGCGTATCTTTCAAGTAAATTTAGCCTAGCATTATTAAAATCAAATAAATAAGAAAATAAACAATTAATTTTAATTTTGAAGATTTGATGAATAAAATCTATTTCTAAACCACTAGATTAATAAAGAAAACTTTTTTTTTTTTTTTAAGAATTCAAAATAGTATTTACTTTATAAGTTATAACTATGGCTTGGCTAGTGGGCAAGCCCATTAGGCTAAATGGGAATTGGTCAACAATTAAATGAGTAAGGAGGCAGAGTCGATTTATCAGCAAATTGGGTCAATATGATTATAGACTGGCCTACAACTACAGCAGCAAAATGACGCAGATTAAATTAATTTGCAGGTACAACTACAATGGGTACTTGGGCAGGCTCAAATTTCAACTGGCCTGAATCAGGCCGGGCCTTCGTAGGCCCATTTTGAACTAGCATTCTTTCAATTCATTTGATTTTGAGACCGCAATCCTCTGAAAATAAATAAAATAAAAAATAAAATAATAATTATTTGTGCGGAAGAGATCAAAGACAATAAAATATGTTTTAAAATGGTTTTATATTATTTACATCATGAAGTATCCCATGTATTGTACTATTATTTTTAAATTTAAATAAAAAAAATAAAAAAATTAAAAATTAAAAATTAAAATTATAAAAAAATTGCATTAATTTTAAAAATGTTTTAAAATTAAAAAGACTATAATGATATATATTTTTCAAAGAGGAGTACATTAAGAAATTAAGTAACTTTCAAGAATCTAATTTATCCTCTAACTTAATACATAAACATTAATTTTCTGAAAATGTATAATACTTGATACAACTAATAAGTAAATAAATAAAAAAAAAAAATTAAAGAATCAACATGAATGTAATTAAGCGAATCAAATAAATTCAATAATTTCCTAAACAATTAAAGTACAATTTGATACAACTAATAGGGATCAATGTTATTATGGGATTTTTAGATTTACAATGCCTACGAGGAAGATCACCGCAGGTGATGATATATCATTGTGCATCATGGAAGATGAGAGTAAAAGGGAGTGTGATGTATGCATAATGAGGCTTAACACTTCACTTATAAGGGGGTTTTACCGAAAAAAAAAATTAATTTATTGTTTTTTAATAAAAAATTACAAATAAGTAGTCGTTTTGAAATTAATTACGAAAATATAGCAGTCAAAGGGGCGTGACCGGTTGGAGAGAGACACGCCCAATGTTGGGCGTGACCTAATCGTGACTCCCGCCCACACGGGGCGTGACCAAGTTGGAGAGAGACACGCTCAATGTTGGGCGTGATCGAGGAGAGAGACACGCCCAATGTTGGGCGTGTTTCACCAGGTGCTGTCACGTGTCACAAAAGTCAATAATTTGACCGTAAAACTTTGGAAGTCCATAACTTTTGACTCGGGTATCCGAATTAGGTAATTTTTTTTTATTCCACATAACTTTTTGAGATCTACGTAATGACACCTAATTTGACCTATTTTGTCTCTCACAAAAAAATTTGAATTTACAACAATGATACCATAATTATTAAAAAAGACATGACTTTGTTACCTTATAAATATTACTAAAAACAATCTAACATTTTTATAATCATGAACAAAAACTTAAAAAACAAAATAAAACGAAAAGCACCCAGTTAACTTTTTAATATAAATTATTCGATATTATGTCACCGACAGATGTTAACTTTTATTAATTATAAATTTCATAAAATTCTTCATTCAAATTTTTAATATATATCTCAATAACATACATAATTAACCTTATGATAACTTACCATAATCATAAGGATCTTTATTATGAATGTTTCTAATCATAACAGTGGTTTTCTGTCCATTAATTTTTGTTTAAACGTTCTTATGGTATAATTATTGTAAATTCAATTTTTTTTTGTGAGAGACAAAATATGCTAAATGAGGTGTCATTACGTAGATCTCAAAAAGTTATGTGGATTCAAAAAAAAATTACCTAATTCGGATACCCGAGTCAAAAGTTATGAACTTCCAAAGTTTTACGGTCAAACTGTTGGCTTCTATGCCACGTGGCAGCACCTGGTGAAACACGCCCAACATTGGGCGTGTCTCTCTCCAACCGGTCACGCCCCTATGGAGCGTATTTAACTGCTATATTTTCGTAATTAATTTCAAAACAGACTACTTATTCGTAATTTTTTATTAAAAAAACAATAAATTAATTTTTTTACCGGGCTTTACCTGCTAATAAACGAGGCCCCATTTCATAAAGCAAGAAAAAGACCCATTATATAGATCCAGAACATAATTGATTTTCAACGAAGAAATTATATGTTGGGAATTTCATTTTTTTTTTTTTAGGATATGTTATTCTACCGATGTTTTTTTTTATCTATTTTTGACTATTACTTTCCCACACCACTAAATTAGAATATCAAGAGAAAAGAAAAAGATAAATGTTAATTGAGATTACGATCTAATAGTATTTTAAAATGATAAACTTTGAACATATAAGTTCAAATCAATTATTCAAACTATTCACACCTGTAATATATTGATTATTCCAATTTATTATTATCATAATAAACAATTTCTCAATTCTAACCTCCCATGGTTCATATAAGAGCCCGTAAGTGCCGAGTAGTGCTACCAAAGGATAATTTGGTCAATACATATTCTAACGGCTATGTCCATAAACAAAGAAAAATAGCCGTTGCCGCCGTCACAACAATTTAGTCCTCAAACAGTTTGCAAAACCCTAATTCAGATTTCCTTCGCTACCAATTGTGCCATATATAATCCCACTTAATTGCCCTCACCATTCAAATCTCTCTCTCTCTCTCTCTCTCTCTCTCTCTCTTCGCTTCAGCATTCCAATATTCATTCTTTTGCAAGAAGCCCTCTAATTTCTGTCATTTTCGCTAATAATCATTTCTTTGACTTCATTTTGTCTAATAATCTGTTTTGCAGGGTTTGGTTTTTGATTGTTTATTTCTTTTCCAGGGTTTGGTTTTGTGCTTTGTTTTCATTTCATTAGTTCTATTTTCCATATTTTCTTGTTTTCTCTCTTTGGTTTTTCCCCCCTTAACAATGGATGCAGGATCATCTTTGAGTTCTTCCTCAACCCTCAAATCCCTAGCACGCTGCCCTCTTCAGGAACAGTTTATTCAGAGAAAGAATTCCCGAGAAAATGTAATAAGATTATTCCAAACTTTTCTCGCCATTGTAATTTGTGTATAAATTTCATGATTTCTCTGCAAACTTTTGCGATTAGGGGTTTCAATGTATAATGAGTTTTTCATTATCAGTTTCGATTTATATCTATAATTCGATAAGTAAATTGAGGTTCTGATTATGAAAAAGTGGTCTAGAAACTGGGAGTTTCAAATTTTTTCCTAGATTGTGGATGGATTTTGAAATTACCCTTTAATAAGTCATCGTGTCTCTTTTTGAACTTGTTTATGAAAAACAAGTATTTGATTGATTCTTTCATGTTTGTTTCTTTTGTCACCGTAAACACCACCAGTTGGACAGATTCATTCCAAATCGTTCGGCAATGGACTTCGATTATGCTCACTACATGCTGACTGAGGGGGCTAAAGGTAAGGAAGACCCAACTGTGAGCTCCCCCTCTAGAGACGCCTATAGAAAGCATCTTGCAGAATCCTTAAACATGAACCGGACCCGAATTCTTGCTTTCAAGAACAAGCCACCTGCACCAGTTGACTTAATCCCTCATGAGTACTCCATGAGTCTTCCCCAAGATAAACCCACCAAGCCACGGAGATATATTCCTCAGGTGCACTACTAAGATCTGATTGAAATTACATAGGTTTTATTTAAATTTGTTGTCGGATTGCATAAACTCCAACAGAAACAGCTAATTCATTTTATGAACATTTGCAATTTAAAAGCAAAAAAGTCCGATTAACCAGTAGGTCTGATTTAAATTTGGATTGTTAATTTCAAGTGGTTCTGAGTTGTTTTTTTAATCTTAGTTGGTTGGGTTTGTATGGTAAGCCACGATATTTTACATTTTTGTGCTTATTTTTATCAGACTTCTGAGAGGACTTTGGATGCTCCTGACCTTGTGGATGACTATTACCTCAATTTACTGGATTGGGGAAGCGGCAATGTTCTTGCAATCGCACTTGGAAGCACAGTGTACTTGTGGGATGCAACAAACGGGTCTACTTCAGAACTTGTCACAGTTGATGATGAAAATGGCCCTGTCACATCCATTAGCTGGGCTCCTGATGGACGGCATATTGCGGTTGGTTTGAACAACTCTGAAGTGCAACTATGGGATACGACTTCAAATAAACAGGTTTCTATTATAATCTTCAAATAAATATACCAAAGTAAATTATTCACTATCCATTTCCTGCAAGTTGTTTACTGATGTTATTCTTGCATGTTTCATCAGTTGAGATCTTTGAGAGGTGGGCATAGGCAACGAGTGGGGTCTTTGGCATGGAATAATCACATACTGACAACTGGAGGGATGGATAGTAGAATAGTTAACAACGATGTAAGAATTAGATCACACATTGTTGAAACCTATAGAGGGCATGAGCAAGAGGTTTGCGGGCTAAAATGGTCAGCTTCAGGTCAACAATTAGCCAGCGGAGGGAATGATAATCTACTTTACGTCTGGGACAGGGCTACCGCATCTTCTAATTCGGCAACACAGTGGCTTCACAGGCTTGAAGATCATACATCTGCAGTAAAAGCCCTTGCTTGGTGCCCTTTCCAAGGGAATTTGCTAGCTTCTGGTGGAGGCAGTGGCGATCGTTGCATCAAGTTTTGGAATACCCACACAGGTGCATGCTTGAACTCAGTTGACACAGGGTCTCAGGTATGTTCCCTGCTGTGGAACAAGAACGAGAGGGAGTTACTCAGCTCTCATGGTTTTACTCAAAATCAGCTTACACTTTGGAAATACCCTTCAATGGTCAAGATGGCAGAGCTCACTGGTCATACTTCCCGAGTTCTTTTTATGGCTCAGGTAATTATTTATTTTTTTCAAGCACAAACCCGTTACATTATCATTTTGAGGATTTTCCTGATTAGTGTAATGTCACTTCTTCAGAGCCCTGATGGTTGCACGGTAGCATCAGCAGCGGCAGATGAAACCTTACGGTTCTGGAATGTGTTTGGAGTTCCAGAAGCAGCAACTAAAGCTGCGCCAAAAGCGAAAGCTGAGCCATTTTCGCATTTGAATCGCATTCGATAAGCAGAGAACTATACAATTTTTCATAAAACAGATATATTAAGCTGCTAAAAAATGCAAGGTTTGTTTGAATATCCATCTGCAACGGTTTGTTGTATCATGGGATCAGTGCCCAGTAATGTTGGGGTTTTGTCATTAAAAACCAAAAAGGTCCAAATTTGTAGCTATCATCTGTCATTCAAGAAGAGGCAGCACGCAAATCTCAAAAAACGCATAGTTTCTCCACCAAAAATAACCTCTCCGGTCGGGAAACGCATTAGATATTTACCTAAACCTGTAGGTCCCTGAGCAGATCCTACGTTAGCCCCAAGACGTTGGTCTCTAACTAGAAAAGTAAATGCTTGAGCTTGAGAAGCTTCAGGTCCGGTGGGTCCGTAAAACTCACTAGGATACGTGGTATTATTAAACCAGATAAAGCAACAAGCAATAAAACCAAAAACAGATAAAACACCTAAACTATACAAGTGCACGCCGAGCCCATGCAAAGGATTGGGTCTTTGAGATCTCCTCCTACCGTTGGATCGAGTTGGGACTAATTTTCAATAAATGGCTCTGGATTTTGACCATTAGAAACTATGACCGAAGTATTAGAAACTTTGACCGAAGTTTGAGGTTTTCAACAAGAATCTCTCTTGGATCATCTTAAATTTGACTGCAAGAATTTAGTTCCTTGAATACAAGGTGTGCACACATTGTTCGTACCTATATTGTTGGATAATATAATCTTGTAATTTCACTTTTGATTATAGTAAAGAATTTGGGTGGACTCCGAAATCGGTCCCGTGGTTTTTACTCTTCACATTGAAGAGGTTTTCCACGTTAAAAATCTTGTGTTGCTTTGTTTTGTTTCTTACATTCTTAAACAAATTTTCCTAACCAACTGAAATTATTATGGATTCCCCTTTCAATTGAAATAATCATGAAGGTAATTTCACTTTTATGGATAGTGAAGAATTTGGGCGGACTTTAAAATTAGTACCGTGTTTTTTACTCTTCACATTGAGGAAAATTTTCATATTAAAAATTGTATTTCACTTTTGATGATAGTGAAGAATTTGGGTGGACTTCGAAATCATATTTCCCTAACCAATTGAAAAATTATTATGAATTTCTTTTCAATTGAAATGATAAATGAAGGTAATTTCACTTTTATGGATAGGGAAGAATGTGGGTGGGTTTTTACTCTTCACATTGAGGAAATTTTTCATGTTAAAAATTGTATTTCACTTTTGATGATAGTGAAGAATTTTGGGTGGACTTCAAAATCGTATTTCTCTAACCAATTGAAATTATTATGAATTTCCTTTCCAATTGAAATGATAAATGAAGGTAATTTCACTTTTATGGGAATGTGGGTGGATTTTTACTCTTCATATTGAGAAAGTTTTTCATGTTAAAAATTGTATTCTTCGAAATCCCTCCGTGACTTTCACATTTGAAGAGGTTTTCCATGTTAAAAATCTTGTGTTGCTTTGTTTTGTTTCTTACATTCTTAAACAAATATCCCTAACCAATTGAAATTATTATGAATTCCCTCTTCAATTGAAATGATCATGAAGGTAATTTCGCTAATCATGCAAGAAACAAAACAAAGAAACAATACAATTTTTTAACGTGAAAAACTTTCTCAATGTGAAGAGTAAAAACCAGTGGACTGATTGGTGATGCTTTATTTTGTTTCTTACCTTCTTGATGTTGGAATATTTGTTTAAGTTAAACAAATTTCCCTAACCAATTGAAAAAATTATTATGAATTTCGCAACAAATTTGTTTGTGTTGCTTTTTTTTTTTTTTTTTTAGGTTTCATTTGTGTTGCTTCTTTGTTTTGTTTCTTGCATGATTGATGTTGAAATATTTGTTTGACTTAAGAAATTCACAGGTCAAGGCTTGTTCCTTCCTTACGTGTCGACTGTTGGACCGGTAGCAGTAACATTTTGCAATAGATACAGATATTCCCCAACCAATCCATGCATCCAGCATTCAAGTAAATTCTCTTTCCATATACCAACTGTTCAATTTTATTTTATTTAAAAAAAGGGCTAAAATAAAAAACCGGAACCCGTTAAAATTTATTTGTCGAATCTCAGAAACAAAAAAGGCATTCCCCTAAGAGATGGGGCACTTGTTGGCAATCCTTGAAAAAACTACTTGGGATTAGAAATAAAACCGTAGCAATCTAAATCTTTTTGACTTTTTTTGTGTGTGGGTATGGGTGGGGATGATCTGTTTGAAAGAGGAGTTAACTCCGAAGGCAAAGTGGTTGAGTGGGGATACCCAAGCTTAAAATAAAAAATAAAAAATAAAAAATAAAAAATAGGGAACGGTTGACGAGTGGGTAATGCTGGATGTAACAACATATGCCCAACTCAAATGCATCAAATACAATTACAAACATTATAAAAATCAGTTTCACTTGTAAAGGCATGCAGTGTTCATACTGACCAAAAGATTGATAGCATCCTTAACATAAAAAAAAATACAACAAAAAGTTAACGAATAATCATGCAGGTTCCTTGAGCCACTTCCTTATAATTAAAGACGAGATGCTTCAATTACATAAAACTTGGGAAAACCGGCCCCTTAGATAGACCAAGGCGAACTTCCATTCCATGATGCGAGTCCAATGGCCGTAAAGTCTCTGATTCACGAGGGTCTGCAGGCAACATTTGCAAAAATGAAATAGGGGGAGAGAGAAGGTACAAACAACAACTTGGTGGTGAATAAAAAAAATCAGCTACATGAATATAAAGGCAAATTCATATCATTACCATTTAAATAATTCTCAAAACCGAAGTCATCAAGACTTCCTGTAAAAGCCTCCAAACCCAGCATTGAAGAAGGAATTGTTCCTGGAGGCCTCTGGAATCTACAAGGAACAGTAGCATTTTACATCCTCAAAAAGTAAACAAATCAAAATGGAGCCACTAACATAACAGACCACATCAGAGGGAGGGTACTAGGAGGACAAGAACAAAACTAATCGGAAAGTAGCTAAGGATATACAAAACAATAGCTTGAGAAAATTCAATCAAACCACTTTCTCCCTAAGTCTATTGTCCTATATTGTGTGGTCATATGATCCCACTGTCTTCTATCAACCTTTTTTTAATGTCTAGTCTACCCCAGTGCCTTGGGTTAACGTTTACTGATTAAGCAGCAGGAACTAGGAAATTTTTATGCTTAGGCAAGAGTCCAGTGGGTCTCCATGGACAGCACATCACTTCCTAAAATGTAGAGTAAGCTTTGCTTACTCTGTCAAAATTAATTCATTCAGACGTGGTCTGGTTGGACCAGAGTTTTCTATGAGTAGATTCAGTGGTTCCAACCAATAACATGGGCTGAGAAGACGGAGAAGCCATAAAAACAAGAACAGCATTATTTGTACACACAAAAAGAAGTGCATTTCAGAATCCTCAGAGTTTAAATCAATCAATGAAAAATTTCATCTAGCAGTTAACCCAAGCTCCAAATTTTGGGCCAATAATTTCTTTTTCTGAGGTTCTGTTGGAAGTGTTTGTGCATTTGACTTTTGCAGAAAAACAATCCTAATCTCAGTCATATACAACAGAGAACACAGTAATTTTCAAGTCAGTTATGTATTTTACTTTCTCTCTACATTAATCTAATAGAAGATCTCTACCAAAAGTTCTACCCACCTAATCACAAGAACTAACCAAAGGTGGCATTCCTTTACTCTTATTCACATGTTAATAGTTGTTTTCATATTGTATATGCACATTTTTAGTATATATCCTTATGCTATTGTCCTATATCCTATGTATGTTTCTGATTACCAATTTTCCAATCTTGTATGTATCATTGCATTAGAATGATGTAAACAGGTTCTGTTTTGAATATAGACATTATGTCGGACTAATTATGTGCTTCTCCGTTACCGGTCATGTTAAGGAAAAGACCGATCAATGGTACATAGAAAGTACTATGTCTGTTAAGTGATATATAACCACCATCTTGACCCAAATTAGTTCCTATTCTTAATAATGATTTACGATGTATCTAATGTATAGAATGACTTAGTCATAATGCACATTATGTTGGTTTAATTTATTTATTTATTATCCATGATGTTGGGTAATCTAACATGAACCAAAGAGGAGAGTGTATGACATTAAGTGTCACATGTCACATGTGAGGAGCATGTGACTGATCCAGGGACTAATAAATAATTAATCAAACAATTAAGGGCTAAATTATAATTGGGTAAAAGGAGGACAGTTCAGAAAGTAACTGCTACTTGATGAGAGTTAGTAGATGAAAGGGGGTTATCCCATTTAACGTAAAACAGTGACCTGTTCATGAAAAATATGCATATTCTCTTCTAGCTTTCCCCACCACTCATGTTGAAGTCAAGGAGATATTCAAGCATATGAAAGGCATCATGCAATTGTGATCAAGTTTTCACAATGGACAGAAGAAGGCAATCATCTTCCCTCAAGTCTCAACTACTGTTTATTATTATTTGTGAAAATCATAGAGTTCCAAGAACCTTGATATTGTAGTTGTTAAGGCATAAGACTCTTGTATGATTTTAGAACTATAGAAAAGTACAACGTACACCAATGCCACACTGTCACTTAGATAGTTTCAAAACATTTAGAAGAAACTAGATTTATGCCAAATACACAGGGGTGTTTAAGAGGAAAAAAGAACAGGAAATACCGAGATAGTATTTGCCTGTCGAGGTCCATCTTCAGTGGAAAAGCAGTTCCATATAAATTGACCATACATTGCCTCTTCATTACTTCATTGATCCTGCTAGCCTAAAAATAACAAAAGAAAAAGCAAAATCATTTAAGATTAGACCTGAATCTGATTCCAACACAATTTGAGTAAAAACACCAGCTTCATTACGATAAAATTTCAATTTCTTCAAAATCACAAAAACTGCAAAAACTTGCGAAAGGGAAAAGCCTTTTTGATTGTTTTCAATCAAAGGGAAAATAGCTATGAATGTTCAAGCTGCGCCAAGAAAGATTAAAACTTGAAATTTGAAATACAAAAACCCTAATAGCAAGTTGAGAGAAAGTGATTACAGATTCCTGGGCAGATTGAAGAGGGTGAGAACCAACGATGTCGCTCTTGACCCCTTGAAGTCCGAACCGAAGAACATCATTTTGGACTCCTCCGATTTGGTGTGCAATGCTCTTTGGCACTTCCTCCATCTTCTTTCTCTTCTTCACTCTCCAACTTCTTTACCAAGCAAAAGAAAGGAACAACAGAGCGATCTACAAACCTTTTTTTGACTCTCTATTTCGTTTTATTTATAAAAAAAAGGTCTATTTCGTTTTATTTAGTAAAAGGCCCCTGCTTTATAGCTATTTACTAAAAAGGGCCTGTTTTATTTTATTTTGGTGATGACAAATTTTTATGCGTGATAGGTTAATATTACACCCCTTGATGGGAACACAAGAGAGGTCTTCCCTGCATGTACTAAAGAAATCAGGAGCCTTCGTGAAGGTTTGAATTTATATGTCTAAAATTATTTGTTGTAACTAGACTTGAACTTATATAAAAACTCGTTTAATAAAAAAGTCTCAGGCTCTAATTGAAAAGCTTGGCCTCAAAGCCTTTCAGGCTAGCCTAGTATACTAATTTTTTTATTTTATTTTATATTTTTTATATTATTCATAATAACTCTCTCTCTCTCTTTAACCCATTTCACCTCATTTCACTGGTTAAACAATTTTTTTAAATGTTTTTGTTCTATATTATGCTTTTTGAATATACTTTGAATTCATGAATCTTTGTGAAATTATTAGTGTTTTTGATCATATATTTTATTTGAATAATTTTTTGTTATCTTATTTTTTTTAAACAGGTGAACAGGTTGAGTAAGGCTTTTATTTTTTATAAATAAGACAGACCACAGACCGATAATTATATTCCTAACAGTAACAGACTAGGTCAGGCTGACACATTTAAATACAGACTCAGCCTTTTAAGACCAAAGTTCAACTCGACTCGACCTGTTAACACATTTACCTGCATCCTTGATGCTAGAAAATCTTTAGTGCTCCTAGACAATTATAACTTAATTAATCATATTTATTGGCTTTTTTATTTCATATGAGATAAATACCTAAGCAATAATGTATTATAATTAGAGGCGGTTATAATTACTTTTATTTTGATTAATTATCATTAGGTTAATTTGAAATTAATGAAAGTTATTTTTTTTTTAATTTTTTAACTGTTAATTTTAAATTGATTCAATAATAATTAATTAAATAATAAAAATATTAAAATTAAAATAATAGTAATAATATCCTTCTCCATATAATTATTAGTAGATTGGACTTTTTTTTCTTCTTGATGGGTTTATGTTAATTGGGGAGTTGCATCAGCAGTTTACAGTCACTCAGCAATTGAATGGCTAAAGGCCACACAGTGAGGTTCTTAGGTGTACTCATCTCCACCACCAGTCAAAGATTATCCATTTTTTTTTGGGTATTTAAATTATCTTTTTTTTTTCTTTTTCAAAATACAGAGCACATCTTTTTGAAAAAAGATAAAAATAAAAATAAAGAAAAACTCTCTTTGTTCTATTCATTTTTATTCAGAAGGAACAAGTGTTTGTTGGTGGTAAATTCCTATCCACACGACTTACCGGAACCATGTCAGGTGTGGTTGCAGGTTCCTCCTCTTCATGCTCTGCCACCTTCACCACCAGGAACAACCACCGCATAAAAAACTCTCATCTCACACATTCCAAGTCACTTACTCCTCCTCAATGCCAGGTACTACTATTCTTTGCTTATCACTAATTAACAATTAGAATTTAGAAGCATGTCTTTACTATTTATTTTTACTTTTGTATCTGCAGAAAACATCTTTACAAGGCCTTTCACTTCATGATGCCAAAAGGGGTGTCTCAAATTTCTTCCTAAGTGAGAACAAGAATGGTTCCTCCATTGCTAGAAGGAGACTTGAGATCTCAGCAAGAACTGCTGGGGCTTCAAAGACAATTGAGGTTGATGTTGACAAGCCACTTGGCCTCACCTTAGGCCAAAAGTCTGGTGGAGGTGTTGTTATCACCGTTAGTATCTTGCTCTCTATTCAATGTTTTATTGTCAAGTTTGAAGGTGATGATTTCAATTTCCGAATGAGGAATGTTCATGGACACTTATTATCTTGGTTAGGCTGTTGAAGGTGGTGGAAATGCAGCAAAAGCAGGGTTAAAGGCAGGGGACCAAGTCCTTTATACTAGCAGTTTCTTTGGGGATGAATTGTGGCCTGCAGATAAGCTTGGATTTACAAAAACCGCAATCCAAGCAAAGCCAGACTCTGTCTACTTTGTTGTCAGCAGGTTCTCTTATTACTTTATTTTTTTCTTGTCTATTGCTATTCAGCTTTGTTCCAATTTCTTAATTGCATCAATTCTTTAGTAGATTTTGTTTCTGACATAGGTTATTGTTATTATTATTATTTACTTGGGTATTGCATGAGGGGCCAACACCCCACACAAAAACAAGAACAAAACAGACACCCCAGGAAACTATGTATGATAGTTTTAAAGTACTTTCTGATAACTTTTTATTTGGCCTTACCCTATTCATGGTACTAAGCCCGTCATTTTATTTTTGGGTATGTTGATTATTGGGAAAAGATGGAACATTATTAGAAAGGTAAGTTAGACAGTAGCATGTTTCTCAAATAACTCAGTCTGTTAAGTGCCTTAGTATTTGCACTTTATCAGTCACAAGTCTCTCTTGGTTTAGTGATGTTATTGTGAACAATCAAGTAAAACTTCAAATATTCATGTTTGAAACTTTTACTCCTCCTTTCACATCTGATTCACAATGGACAAGACTTGGTTCCCTACTTGACATTTGATGTAAATTTTTAGACTAGAGTGCAGTGCTTTAACCAGCATTTTATTCTAAATTGAGATTCATGCTCTCCGAGTCCTTATCATGATTAAATGCTACTGCGAAAAAAACAACCTACATAGTAAGCATGTTCTTTGATAAATTCAAAATGCTTAGGAGTGATAGTATTGCTCTATTACCTAGATCAATGTTAAGGATATGATGGCTTAATTTGACAAAGGATAATCTTTGCATGCAGAAGAGTAAATCATTAATAATTACAAAAAATGTCCCTGGCCTCAATAGTATCTAGTACGATTGATTTTTTGGAACCAATGGGGAAAATAAGATAAAAACTGAAAGCAATGCTATATAAGACAAGTTGAGTATGCAATTCAATGAATTGTTCTCCATTCAAATTATTGTGGCAATTAATCTGTTCATCAGTTTGTTTCAATGTGTTAAACACGCAGGGTAAAATCTCCCTATTGTTCATGTGATCATGTCATTTATTCTATTATTTAATTAACAGCTGAAATAGCTTAATGTTTTTGTTATGAAGAGGTGCTGCGGTAGATGTCAAAAGGCTCCCAAAGCGTCCTGCTCCCCCTCGCTTTGGAAGAAAACTGACTGAGGCTCAAAAGGCAAGAATCATTTTGGAGTGACTTGCATTCCTGCATACCTTTTCTTCCTTGTATTTATTTGTCTTCCAGGCTCAAGAATCAAGATGATATTATGTCCCGTTTTACATTCAATGGTTAATTAAGTGCACCGCCATGCAGGCTAGAGCTACTCACATTTGCCTTGATTGTGGATACATATACACCTTACAGAAACCTTTTGATGAGCAGGTAAGGCCACCATATAAAACTTTACTTCTCCCCTTGTCCTCCCTCCCTCCCATTTATGCTTCAATTTAAAATCATGTGCCTAGAGGGAGGAGAACCTTAAAGTAGCGGTAAGATTGTTCCGTGTGACTGGAAGGTCACGGGTTAGTTTTTGAAAAACAGCCGCTTTGTAAAAATGTAAAAGAAAGATTACATATAACCCTCATCCCTATCCTTGCAAGTCGGGGAGTCTTAGGTATCGGGATTTGACGTTTGTTCGGAGGCTTTATCTTCAAGAGATGATATTCTTTAAAGTTGGATTTATCAATATGCCAACTGCTTATTGTCATTCTCCCCTTATTTATCCTTTTACAGCCGGACGCATATGGCTGCCCACAATGTCAAGCACCTAAGAAGAGGTTTGCTCGATATGATGCTAATACTGGAAAAGCTATTGGTGGGGGCTTGCCTCCTATTGGAGTTATTATTGGACTTGTGGCTGGTATTGGTGGAGTTGGAGCTTTGCTTGTTTATGGTCTTCAGTGACATTTTATCCCACCATTTTCTCTCCTCCAAAGCTGTTTCAATCTCTGAGCTTGTATCTCATAAACTCCTCTAATGTTCATGTGAAAGTTGAAGCTTTCTGTATGAGATTAAGCATGTTCTGCAAAATGAATTTCAAAACTATTGTTTTTTTTTTTTGTTTTTTTTGTGGGGGGTTTCAAATATTAGCAATTTGCAGAGCTACATGTGATGACATGATAGCATTGTCATCACCAGTGGTAATATATAATAAATGTTTTCACCTCAAAAGCAATCAAATCTATGATTACCACTGTATTGCAGTTGACCAAATTATCTGGTATTGTTCGCAATTTATATTAGCTCCAAATTGCACATTAAGGGAAAATAATACCCTATTAAGTAGATGAATAGACCAAAATGTCGATATTGATGATCACTATAGGTAAATTCAGAGCTAATGGAGCTGCTTAGCACTTGCGCTGAAATATCTTATGCACCAATCCAACGCCAACCCCTCCCACAAGTCTCCCTGGCAACTTCTAGAAGCACCACGTAGGAATTTAGTTGAATCGAACGACTTTGAATTTTTGCACTTGACTGAAAAAAAAAAAAAAACTAAACCTAATTATTTATCTTAAAATAATTCATGGATTTACATACCCAAATATAAATTCTTCACAATTATTTTTTGAAAAAGACAATTATACACAATTGATTTTTATATGATCATGAAGTCCCCCTGGGGGGATCTCTGGTCTTTGACCGAACTTTCTTCACAATCTCCCCTCGTGCAAAATGTCATTTTGGGGATTTAAACAGATAAAATTAAGGGTAGAGTGTGTGTCATTTTAAAGGATGTAAAATTGTGTCATTTTAAGAGATAGATAAAGGAGGAGAGAGAGTTGACAAAGAAATAAAGGTGTGGGTCCCACCTCTTTGTGAGGGTGAAAGGATATAAGTTGTGTCATTTAAAAGGATAAACATTTTTCTCTAAAATTAAACTGACAAGTGTGTAACGACTAACGACAACATAAGTGAACCCAAAACCCAATAACAAAAGATTATTTACTTTCAAAAAAGATTATTTTATTAATGGGACAAATGGCAAACTATTATAAATAGGTTGACATTATCTCTCAATCCAAAAAATATAGATATATGGGTCTTTAGTATTTATATAATTCTCATTTGGTTCATGTTTAACCAATGTGGGGATTTTATTACTACTCGTATCTATGATACACTGACATTCTAAAAAATCTTACGTGTCATGTCCGACACTTCAGTACGCATTGTAGAAACTCAAAAAAGATTTCATAGGTTGTGTTATGTTGAGTTTTTTGTTCCAATTATTAAATTCGTTAGATTACGATTACGATTTTATTGAGTTTAATATAAATATTTGTAATATGTTATATTTCTTTGTAAAATTAATGAGTAGTATAAGTTTAGCTTTATTTTTTATTAGATTATTGAATATTAAGTATAATATACACTACATTAATAATATTTAATATCAAAACATATTCTAACGTGTCGAAATCTAATATTTTTTAAAATTAACGTGTCATATCTTGTATCCCGAGTGCAACATAGATTAACATGTTAATATTTTTAACAAAGTGATGATAGATGATTGCTTTATAAAAAGAAAAAAAAATTAAATCCAAAATTGTTAACAATTTTAAAATGGGAAGGATCCGTTTACAAATTTTTTTGATAAATTTTTACAAATTACATTATCTTCTCCTGGGAGAACATAGTGAACCTAGTGTTCTCCGGAAAGAAGATAATGTAATTTGTAAGAGTTTGTAAATAAAAAAGTTTGTAAATATAACCTGCCCCACTTTAAAAACCTAATTGAGCAATTATTTGTTTGTTAAAAATTTGAAAAGACGCTAGTTTGAGCCGATTAACGTTTTAATTAATTTGGTTACGGTGCATCTCACTTTGTAAGTTTGTATTAATTATTATGGTTGGGCCCACCTATAATGAATTGTCCTTCTCGTATTTGTTGGGCCCAACCAAAGAATCTGTGTGATTTGCGAACTCGTGTCCTCTGTATTTAGTATTTTACGAAAAGAGTTGTCGTCGCTTTCATTGCTCAACTTTCTATGTCCGTTCTACAGCATTAACATTTGCAACGGTTACTTCTGTCGAGGCACCTCCTCTTCAACGGTTACTTCTAAGTTCTAATAGCGTAGAAGCCTTCTTCGTTCCTCATAGTCTCAGTCTATCAGACACCCCAAGCCACAAGGTAACGAATGCTTCATGTTCTTCTTTACCAACTACTGAATTTTTTGTTTGAAGGGAAGGGAGGTGTTAATTTTTATCTTCAAAAAACGGAATTAGGAAACAGAACCTGAATGATTAGTATTGAGTGCTTGAATGATTTTGAAGAGCTCAAAAATATACAAATTTGTGGAGCAGTAAATGCTTTTATTTCCTTTTGCATCTTTACCTTCCTTGTTTAAGTGTTGTCTGTAATTTTTAGCGTATAGTAATAGTTTTTCATATTTTTGTTTCCTGGATTATATGTTACAAAATTTGTGTGTTTGCGACTTAGATATTTCAAGGTTGAAGGTAGATTTTGTTTTATAATTTTCACTTATTTAAGTTTTATTTATTGTAGTTTTTTAATGTAGGTCTTTATAATTTCGTATCATAAACTTTTTATTGTTTAAAAAATAATATCAATAATTATAAAGATGATATAAAGGGTTATATGTATATTATCTTACATAAGATAAGTCAATTTCCTACACACACAAAAGAGAGGTGGGTCTCACATCTATATTTTTTTTTTCTCCTCTTATCTGTGGGTCCCGCTTGCAATTTTATTTCTACTGCACGAGATAAATTAATAAAAATTTAAAAAAAAAATATTTTAAACCATACTTTAATGAATAAGATCAATTACTAGCAATTAATGCAAATGCATAAAATACACGAACTACATATATAAACATCATAGTAGAGATGATTACATACAACATTTCCTTAAAATTTAAGAACTTTAGATTGGAACAATGCAATTATTGATCTTGTATTTCATGCGCTGGTTGAATCTGATCTCTCGTGGTAAAAAATAATATGATAATAAGATGAGAAGCAGAGACATGCAGATACTAAAAAGTAACATAGCAAAAGGGTTACTTAATTGGTTCAAAGTACCCAACACAGTCACAACACACAAACACCGAATAGCCTCCACTTTCTGCTCTGCATTTTTCACTTTTTCACAAACACACCGAGAACAGGAACCCACACACTCCAAACCCATCACCACCAGGCACTAGCACACCCTTCATCGCAGCTTCTCTATCAGGTAATTGCAATTGCCTTATCAGCAATTTCTTGGAATGAACTCTGTTAAGTTACAGAGTATTTGGCAGTTTTTCATCACCCTTTGTATATTGGCTTTGCGTCGCTGCTCCCTACCTGTTCGGAGAAATGCCCAAATGTAAAAGAGCCCATCGTGCCGTCCCAATGTCTCTGTATGTTCGATTGTGATTTGTGATCCTTGGTGCTGCTCTTTGGGGTTTCTGATTTGGGAATTAATAGATGCATCTCTATGCTCCTTCAAATATGATTTGGTTGATATAAATTTTCTATCTTTGCTGCACCTTGATTTTGTGCTTTTACCTTTCTGCTTAAGATTAGATTTATGGTATTTTATAGTCATTAAGTTAGAAATTATGTATGGATGGTATAAAACAAACTATAGTAATGCCTTAATCATGAAAAACTAGAATATAAATATAACCCAAAATAGAATGTCCATAATAAATACGATACCCTTTTCCTCTTCAACATTTTTTCCTTCCCTTTTGATTGAGAAGCAATGCACTGAGGTGGCTTAACTAGGTCATGTACAGTCGTTGTATAACTTTTGGATGTTCAACTTCAAATTCAAGCTGAAGTCTTTCTAAATGTAGAAATTATTAGCAACTAAATAACTACTTTTTGGTCAAATGTTTGAATAATTTCTGGCAACGATTAAAAATGTGTGGTTCTACTTCTAGTTTAAGTGTTACTCTGAGTATGAATAATGCTTTATGAACGTTCTCAATTTAATTGACTTATTTGCAGCCTCTCTTATTTTGAAATGAGTTTTTCTTATTTTTTGTCCCCAAAATATATATCTGCGCGCGTGCGCGCGTCTGATAGAACCTTTTTCTTTTGGGGAATAATTTTTTTATGGAAAGATTTCCATACAAGTCTTATTTTTTAGCTGTACAATGGAGCCTAGATGATGCACACATTTTTATTTTGTTGTTTACAGGAGTTTATTAAGAAAGATCCTTGGTTTTGGTCAAAAGTGAGAAGAAAAATGTCTGTCTGGGGTTGATAAGGATTTAATGTAGGACTATTTGTAAATGTCTTCTGAAAACTGATTCATACTTTCTTGAAATTTTGGTATCTCTCTGGCAGGGATATGCAAATATATCTGTGGATTTGGTGTCGTTCACAGTTGAAAATTAAGAAATTCAAGTTCTCACTGTAATTTGATCTATTAATATAGCAGAATAATTTGGTAAGTATTCAAAGTAACACAGATAGTTGGCTGATTCAATATTAGGGGTGTCTCTTTTTACCTTTTTTGGCTGGCCCTATTCGATGTTCCAAAAATCTTTGAAGGGACAAATTCGGGATTTACTCTTTTATTTTGCCTTGAGATCGAGAGTGGTTCTCACATCAGACTTGTAGTTAAGAGAAATGAGAAATCATGAGTTTAGCATAATCCATTTAATCAAAATCCTTTACTTCATGAATCTTATGGATGAATTAGGTGAAGCTGTGTTGAAAAGAAAACGAATGCTTTACAAGGCTAAGAGAATTGCAATTTGATAATCAAGACGAACTTTTGAGTTTAATTCCATGATCTGTCCGATTTCCCAAGTTTACCAGATGTACTTGCCTTTCAGCTATCCTTGTTTACATTTTTGCCTTATTGTTTGTAAATGTCTATTTATTAATTGTAACGTTTCCTGTTTATTTTCTCATTTTGTAGGGTGTAACAAGTTTGGTTGGTGTGTGTGTTGCTATTGCTGCTGATCTGAAACTCCTCTGTATAGTTTTATCCTCGGCCTTTTTATTCTCTCTCTCCTGGTGGTGGGAGGCAGACATGTACATTGGAGTGGTGGTGATGATGACTCAAACATTGAAAACGATAGTGTCATCCTATAATGACCATGACAAGAATTCCCGCCTCTCTGCTTTGCCTCCTGGTGGTCTTGGAAGCCGTCAATGGCGCCAAAGCCGCACTGGTACCTTGGCTGTTGCCATAGCAGCACTTCTCATGTCTACTACTGCTTGGCTTTCCCTTGTCTTCTCTGATAGAACTACCTGTTGCTTTCATAGCTTAAAGGACTGGGAAAGTAGCCGCCACTTTTTCCCTTGGAAGAAGTGCATTCCTCATCGCCTTTCAAAAGTAACTCCACCTGCTCTCCAGTTTGGGACCATGGAAGATAAGCTTCAAAACGGTAGCAGTGTTGAACAGGAAGGCTTGTCACTTAAACATATTGTATTTGGAATAGCAGGATCTTCTCAGCTTTGGAGACGGAGGAAGGAATATGTCAGACTGTGGTGGCGGCCCAATGACATGCGTGGCCATGTGTGGTTAGAGGAACAAGTGGTTCAAGAACATGGGGATGATTTATTGCCCCCTATCATGATTTCTGAAGACATCTCACATTTCCGCTACACTAATCCAATTGGTCACCCTTCTGGCCTCCGAATTTCTCGCATTGTCAGAGAGAGCTTTCGCCTTGGTCTCTCAGATGTGCGCTGGTTTGTCCTCTGTGATGATGATACCATCTTCAATGTGGATAACCTTGTTGACGTTCTTAGCAAGTATAATTCCTCTGAAATGATTTACATAGGTAGCCCCTCAGAGAGCCATTCAGCAAATACCTATTTTAGTCACTCAATGGCCTTTGGTGGTGGTGGGATTGCAATAAGTCATCCACTTGCGGAGGCTCTCTCTGAGATTCTTGATGAATGCATTGAGAGGTATCCCAAACTTTATGGCAGTGATGATCGACTGCATGCCTGCATCACTGAACTTGGCATTCCTCTGACCTGGGAGCATGGTTTTCACCAGGTATTTTTTGGATCCATCTGGATCTTCCTTCCTCAATTTTATTTTGATCACATCTTTTATTCTTTTCATTATTATTTTTTTTCCATTTCCAGAGAAGGGAAAATTTTGGTCAGATGTATCATGTATTATATGATTTATCATCCAGCCATTTCATCACTCAGAATTAATTTTTCTTCTTGTAATCTTTCAGTGGGATATAAGGGGCGATGCTCATGGTCTTCTATCCTCTCACCCAATAGCACCATTTGTGTCAATTCATCATGTTGAAGCTGTTAATCCCTTTTATCCCAGTTTGAGCTCTTTGGATAGCCTGAAGCTTTTTACAAAGGCCATGAGAACTGATCCAAGAAGCTTTTTGCAGCGGTCAATATGTTATGACCATGCTCGGCATCTAACATTTTCGGTGTCACTTGGTTATGTCATTCAAGTCCTTCCTAACATTGTTTTTCCCCGTGAGCTGGAGCGCTCTGAAAGAACCTACTCCGCTTGGAATGGTGTTAGTCGAAGAAATGAATTTGATTTTGATGCTAGGGACCCATATAGATCTATTTGTAAAAAGCCTATTCTCTTCTTCTTGAAAGACACTGGAAGAGAGGGTAATGCTTCTTGGGGTTCATATATTAGGAGTAGAGATAAAGATGATTTCAAAAAGCGAATTTTCTGCTTTCCTCACTTTCCCCCTCTTCGCAATGTGCGAGAGATCCAAGTAGTGGTGCAGCCTTTGAGCAAGAATTGGCATCTGGTATGTTTCATAGCACTTGAGCATTTCATATTATGGTATTCCCTGTTTTCAATCTTAATGACATCTCTAAATTCCAATGTTTGGGGTATCCTAGGTACCACGTCGTCTCTGTTGCAGGCCAAGCCAAGCAGGCAAAGAAATCCTCCAAATGTCAGTTGGAGAATGTGGGAAGGGAGCTTTTAGCTCTGTATATTGACTTTCTTTGGTGGGTTGTTTGTCGGATGGCATGTTAGGATTGCGATTTTTTATGGTTTGTACATGATTTGGTCTTTGAGTGAAGAGCTAATTCCATGCGGCATTTTTTACCTTTAATTGAGCTTTCTCGAACTTCTATTTGTATATGGTAGTAGTCTAGTAGACGATTGAACTTGCAGATGGTAGAGAAAAGGTTTCTAACACCAAAAGCTGGAGTATTCAATTTTTTTTCTTTATTTTTTCCCATTTTATCCTTTATAGAAGTTACTCCTTTTTTTTTTAATAATTCGAAACAGTTATACTAGGGATAGGATAGGATGCCTACCAACCTAGGTATATGCTAGGAACACATGGTTCTCTAATAGGTCTTCTATAAAGTCAACATACCATTCTAATTCACAATAAGGGTAATTGTGTGAAGAGTTGCAGGGACACCTGAGTTGTGTTTGATCATTCCTACTTGCATCTTGGAAGGAAGCCTAACATGTGAATTCCACCCTAGATCATTCCTGTTGGTGATGTAAAAAACCACGTACTGCAATCAGGAAAATCTTCATATTGGATACTTTGTTAGTTACCCGAGAAAATGAATTATGTGGATTCTGTAGTAGCTCAACAGTAGCACGCTTCCTATGATCTTAAATTCCTCTTCCACCATAAACAGAGTATCCAGTCATTTTGTGGAATTGGACACCATCCTGCTAGGCTATTCCATTCTACTTATGTATTCTTTGGCGATTCTTCAAATTCGTTGAGAGACTATAGGGAAAGTTTAATGGTTACGAACTTACAATTAAGGTCGAGGGTTGTGTCTTTATTTTTCCCAAGTGAAGAAAAGGATCGGAATTTTAAATTAAGACAAGCTCATTTATAAAATAAGATTGCATATTCAAGAAGAGTACATATTATTTCATTTTTGTGAACTATAATCCATTTGAAATGCTGTATGAAGATATTATATCTCTAATCTTCCACTTGACCCCAACGCCAATCTCAAGTCAAATTATATATATGACTATAAATAACACTGAAAGTTACATTAAAATCATCTCTACTGATTGGTGCAATCAGTAGGTTTAAAGGAGACCATCTTTCTGTCCAGATCAAATCCAATCAAAATGTTAGATTGGGCAAAATTGCCAAATATATAGACTCCATCAGTAGTGCCAGCCATTGCAAAGCAGAATACTCCATCTTTTGGTGGAATGAAGGTTTGCATTGGCATCAATTGCACATCTGCCCCCTCAAAATGAGCAGTCAAGATTGGCCCTTCCAAATTTGTCTCACTTCTGTAACAAAGTTGTGTGCCCAAGTCTGGGTCATCGTCAATGGGTATCAAGTTACTCTGTACCTTCAATTCCTCAACCAGACGGTCATAAAATTCTTGTGGTAAATATGTTGTTGGTGTACCTGAATCAATCATTATATTTCCCTTGGAAAGCATTTCTGAATAATCAAATGACACATATGTGTCTCCAACACTAATGCCTTCCAGTGTGACCAAATAAGGTGTCTGACCTTCCTCTGAGACCAAAGGAGTTGTGACTACTCCTTCACCTGAAACATCACTGGCTTCACCAAAACTAATTGTACCTGAAGTGTGAGGGTCTGTATGAAAAGGAACCAGGCACTGAGAGAACCTTTTGCTCCCATAAATGGTACCAATTTGTGAAACAAGTGACATAGGACCCCCACCCAGTCCAATTATTCCCATATCGTTTTCATTGAAAATTCCTGTATTGCTGTGCCCACATCCAAATATAATCTCTCCAACAACAACAGGCTCCCCATTGGTGGAACTAAAGGTGACTGTTTCCTTTGAAAGCACCCCTTTGGTTACTGAAGAATCTGCATAACTATAACTATAAGAACACAGTTTTTGAGGAGAGCATGAGTGACCAAAGAGTGAATTACACTGCTCTGAATCACATGTAATAGCACTGTATGTTTTGGACCTCAGGGGCTCAAACATTGGACTTTTCTGCTTATAACAGCCATTACATGGTGTACATTGTGCCCACACAAGGTCACTGCCTGTGTCAACCAAACCATATATGTCCACTGGTGGTGTTCCCAATGTAAACTTCATGAGATAGTCGCCATTGTTGGATGTTACTCCAGTGAAAGGACCATTTGTGGCTAATGATTTCTTGGGAACTTGGTGGAATGAGCCATGTCTATATTTATGAAGTCTATTTGATTTGTAGAAGGGAGAATTGGGTGAGTTTTTGTGGATTAGTTGAACACTAAAACCGGCGTTGTAAGCTTCAATTGGTGTTTGACATAAGAACATGTACAAAACAAAGAAGAACAAATGGAAGCAGAGAATGTTTGCCATGAAGTTTAGCAAGGGACAAAAGTCTTGTGAAAGAAGTAGACGAATTTATCTCATATATATAGGCGCAGCATGTGAGTGGTGATGTTGGTTGAGGTTAGTCACAAGGCGTAAACAAAGAGCTGCATGTGAGTTATTTCTGTTACAACAGATTCAGACAATATGTTCCACCCTACAATATATATAATACCATCGTAACTTTTATTTTATTTTATTTCCTTTTTTTAAGGTTAGTAAATGCCAAGGGTTGAAAGACCCAACACAACCCAGAGAACCTGGACAAAGCTACACCAGGGACACCTATAGCACCTAAAACCGGTCAAAAGGAGGTGGTTCCATAGAACAAGTCTCTTGCTCTTCACTATGAGCAGACTTGGCTAGACAATCTGCCATGTTGTTACATTCTTTGATTCTTCACAATTGCCATTCAAATATTTCCTACTTTGCAATAACCTTTGTTGGAAAAAGCTGAGAAAAATGCCATACACACTGTTAAGGAATAGAAAATGAAAACATGGTTAGGTTATAGTAATTTTGACTCGTATAAGGAAGATAAAAAGTCAAGGTAAGATATACCAAACCAAACCTAAACAACAACAACAAAAGTATAGCTAAAATGTGTTGATGGCACGACTACTGTTTCCTTTTTCCATTTTCTGGTATTTCTGATAAGTTATTCCTTCCATTCTGACTAAGAACGCAACTGTATCAAATGGCCAGACTTGTCAAACTGAAAACTTTAGAATATAGCACTTCTTTTACCAACTCACATTTCTAACGAAATCAAAGGCATTCATTATGGTATCGTTTATATTTCCTTCATGTCTTTGTTATAGTCGTTTTCTTGTTGAATAAAGTTAATATTTATTCTGATTTTCATTTAAAACATTTCATATCAACTCCGCATTTGGCGGCTACTAGACTATATGATTCCCATAGCATTTGCACTTGGATTCTTTACTGATTTGTATATAATTTCAAATGACACAAAAGAATACTAGAAGTAAGAAACTATATGGTTTTTATGTATCACTAGATTTTAAACAAACCAAAAATAAAAAATAAAAAAATGAAGCCTCAGAAACTAGAAAGATAAGTTCACGAAAAGCATGGGATGGACATGATGTTTTGACGTTTCATAAGAGAACAAAACATAAAGATTATATATGATTCACGGGCAACCGGTGTCCGTGAGGGTCTGAGAGCACAATATTATAGAGTGAGACATGCCTAAAATTCGTGAATCATGTGTCATATATATAACAAAAGGCTTAAAAGATGATAGTGTGGTAGCTACGTGACATTGAAATAGTGGATAAGGCTACTCTATTCTTTGCCAACAGAACAAATATGAACGCACGGGCTACCCAATCTTCGTGGATAAGGTCCAATAAATATAATCCGTTTGTTTTCCAATTTCCCATACCATACATGTTAATTCCTTCATCCCACACCTTTGGACCACACGGGCTGCTTCTAGAGATTCAGTTTCACAACATATATGGAAGAACGAAGAAATAAGAGATAGTAGCACTAATTAATATGAGTTTTTTTTTTTTGGAGAATAATATGAGGTTTTTTTTTTGTGTGTGTGCTAAAATGGCCTGATTATATCGAAATGGGTTTTTAGGCCCGTCTCCTGCAATGGCTATTTCAAATTCTAAAATAGTTCATGTCAATTAAAGTCATACAAATCTATTAACTTAATTCACATTTTATTTATCCACAATCATAAAATGGAGATTTGCATTTTATCTTCTTCTTTTTTCCTCTCTTTTTGGTTACAGGGAATCAATAGAGAGGCCAATGAGACATGCAATATTTTTAGTTCATAATCGTCTCTTTGCACTTTGCGGGATGGAAACCAATGAAACATGCAGTATCTTTGCAAAAACAAATCAAGTGAAAAATTCGATCATATCTATTAGAGGATAAAAAAAACAAAAACAAAAACAAAAATTGATGTAGATATCATAGTAAAGATGGTTTATCATAATAGTGTGAATTGTGAAATGAGCAAACTTCACGACGCTAATGAGAAGGCTTCACTACTGCTAACTTTTGATATCCTAATCATAATAAAGTGTCTTTTACGGTCTTGGGCCAAACTCATCCCAACACTTCAAAATTGAATCTGATTTACGTACTTTCTGTGTGTATAAATTTATAATGAGGATTTCCATGCAACTTCCATCTTTAAAAATATTACTGGATGAAAGTTTCCCAAAGTTGTCAAAAGAGGAAATACAATATTTATACAATTAGTCAAGACTTTGGTCTCAACTTGTGATTCGTCCAATAGTTTGGCTGTTATTTAAAATTAAGAAAAAATAAATAGAATCTTCCTCAGAGAGAGAGAGAGATAATAGCTAATTGGCCAAATTCAGACTCACTGACAATTAAAAAAGGGTTGATAAAATTTACCAAAAAAGAAAGAAAGAAAGGGTTGATAAATAATAGCCAACGACAGTACTTGCTAAATTGATAGAACGCACAGTTTAGAATATAACTTTTTTTACATGGACTACATATTCAAAGAGCGTAGTTACAAAAATTTTATACAAGGATGGAAAATGATACCATTATATATAATATATGTTAAAATTTATAAAATGATTTCACAAGTAGATTATTTTTAAGTATCGCCATGATCTTTCTAAAGAGTCTTATAACATGTTTTAACCTTAGAATGAGACAACTTCCTACTTTTGTTTCGACCCCAAGCCCATTCAAATTATAGAAAAGTTTGTCCCTAACCCTAGAAATTAAGAGTACCCAATTGATTACCAAAAACGATATCCAATCAATCACATTATTTCGTATAACTTTCAGGAAACCATAGGAATTAAATGCCGAACTATTTTACTTAATCAAAAAAGGAGGAATTAAATTGTAATACAATAATCATAAAATTACTTAATACTTGTAAAGAGAAAAAAACGGACCCAAATTTACACATGAACAATCACGTGAAATTTACACATTTCTTCCATCTTTAGTGCTTGGTGCAATCAGCTGGCTTGAAAGAAACCGTCTCTCTATCAAGATCAAACCCAATCAAAATGTTTGATTGAGCAAAATTGCCAAATATATATTGTCCATCGTATGTGGCAGTCATTGCAAAGCAAAATACCCCATCTTTTGGAGTAATGAAGGTTTGTACTGCCATTAATTTCACATCCGCCCCTTCAAAATGAGCAGTCAAAATTGGCCCTTCAAGATTTATATCACTTCTATAACAAAGTTGTGGGCCCAAGCTTGGTTCATCCTCAATGGGCGTCATGCTAATCTGTGCCTTTAATTCCATTACCAAACCATCATAAAGTTTTTGTGGTATATATGTTGCTGGCGTTCCTGAATCAATCATTATATTCCCCTTGGAAATCTGTTGTGAAGAATCAAAAGGCACAAACTTGTTTCCAACTCTTTTATCCCTTCCAATGTGACTGAATAATAGGGCCGCATTTCTCCAGAGACCAAAGGACTTGTGACCACTCCTTCACCTGAAACTTTACTGTGTGCACCAAAACTCAATTTTCCTGAAATGCTAGGATCCGTATGAAAAGGAACCAAGCACACTGAGAGAATCTTCTGCGCCCATAATAGGTACCCATTTGTGAGACAAGTGACAGAGGTCCTCTACCCAATCCAACCATTCCCATATCATTGGGATTGAAAGTTCATGAGTTGTTGTGACCACACCCAAATATAATGTTTCCAATATTTGTGGAACTAAAGGTGGCTGTTTCCTTTGCAAGGACCCCTCTTGTAACTGAATGATCCCCATATTCATAAGTATAAGCACAAAGACCTCGATCAGTGCAGGAATGACCAGGAAGTAAATGACACTCATCTGAATCGCATGGAATTTCAGTGTATGTTTTGGACTGTAGGGGATCAAACATTGGATTTTTCTGCTTGTAGCAGCCATGGCAAGGTGTGCATTGTGCCCACACAAGGTCACTGCCTGTGTCAGCCAAACCATATATATCAAATGGTGGGACACTCACCAAAATGCCACCCTTTGGCAAAAAAATTACCAGAATGTTACGCGAACAGTAAAATTTTTCAAACTGTCACGCGGCATAATTCGCTACACCGTGTAGCGAATGGTGTAGCGAATTATGCATGCAAGTAATTCGCTACACAGTGTAGCCAAATATGCCACGTCAGAATGCACAGAACCAAAAAGTATCATGGGTCAGAATTGTTGAAATTCGCTACATAGTGTAGCGAATTTCAACAATTTTGACACATGACACTTTTTGGTTCTGACGTGGCATATTTCGCTACACTGTGTAGCGAATTATGCCACGTGGCAATTTGGCAAAATTTACTGTTGGCATGACACTCTGGTAATTTTTTTGTCCAAACGTGACAAAATGATCACTGTCCCTCAAATGGTGGTGTTCCCAATGAGAGCTTCACGAGATAGTCACCGTTGTTGGATGTGATTCTAGTGGAAGCACCACCATCTTGGGATGATGATTTATGGGGAACTTGGTAAAATGAGTGAAATGCATTTTCATACAATTCATCACCCGGTGGTTTGTGGAAAGGAGAATGGAGTGAATTCCTGTGGATTAATTGAGCAGTGAACCCAACCTTGTTGTAAGCTTCAATTGGTGTCTGAGACAAGAACAAAAACACAAAAAAAGAAGAAAAAATGAAAGCAGAGATGGTCGACGAGGAAGTTCATAGCTAGGGAGGAAAGACTGATATGAAAAGTACTGGACGAGAAATGAGAGTATCACCTTAGCTCCTTTCTTCTATTATTTGCCTTTCACTTTAAAATTTTATTATGTACATATGAATATGGCACACTGTACATTTACTATTCTGGGAATTTAGTTTCTTTCTTTCTTTTTAAAGATTCCTTCGTTGAAATGAATTGTTGACAGTGATAGTCAATATTCATGATGAGATTTTTTCTGAATAATGATTATAAAAAAAAAATTCATTAAATATTTATCATAAGGAAAAATTGTCACATTATTGTACAG